ATATATATATATATATATATTTATTTCTATATATTATTAATTTGTAATTTGTCATAGATGTGAACATCACTTATATTTCAGCATAATTCATTTCCACATATGGTTATTTATTAACAAAGTAAAATAAATTTTCGGTATACTTTACAAGTTGATTCTGTTGATTATAAATGTTTTATAATAACATATTTCCATATTAATATATTTTTATAGAATTTGTGTATTTTTTTGTTTCTGAGTAATGAGTTGACAGGAGCCTTAAGAGTAGGAAAGAAGAATGGAGAATGCTTGCATGAAGTAAACACTGATGTATTGCTGTATTTTTCACAGGATTTGTTAAATCGTAACGAGTACGAGTTCATACTGGATCGCGCATGCACGCAATTTGAGCCGGACGATCCGGATTACCAAGCGATCACCCAAGAAGTCTACGAACACATAAATGCCAAGAGTGATTTCGACGTCTTAAGATCCACGCGTCACTTCGGGCCGATGGTGTTTCACCTAGTGTGGACGATTAACATCGACAACCTGTTGTATGAGATGATCGAAACCAATCGGATCAAGGATGCTGCGCTGTTGATACGTCTGTACCATATGATTCATCCTACAACTAAATCGGCAGTTGAACAGTGCGAGCACACGGACGATGTGGACTTCGTTATGCATTACGTGCGCCTCGAATCGCTAAAAAAGGATAAAATCCAAAAGCTCTTGCGATCGTACAAAGAATTGCAACAGGAGCGTAAAATTGTGGCGGAAGGTATTAAAGAGGCCCATGGCATTTCTTCGAAAACGGATAAAACGTAAATATAAATAAATAAATATCTTGTATTCTCTTTTTCGTTGATATAATTAGTAATTATTCTTCCATTTTTTCAATCCATCATTCCAACCGTGGTAATAGCCGATAGTAAGACTAGAATATGTTAAATATTTTGATTTTATTCCCTAAAGAAAAGTAGCTTACCTCGATGAATATTATTTTCCCTTGAAAGTGTCGTTTAGAGATTAGAAAAATGAATTAGAAACGTGAATTAAATTGATAAAACAGATAAATTGTGAAGAGACGTTTAATCCTTTGAGGAGTTTCTTAACAAAAGATCTGCGTTTAATCAAAAATTTTTACACTTAAAACGAGATAAATAAATATTCAGGCCAAGAGAAGATTTTGAATATAAAAAGTTTAAGCAACGCGAATAAACATAAAATAACTTCGAAAATCTTATGTTTTACAAATTTTCTAATATTATAAGATTTAGTTTTAGGAGGTTCTTGGTATCTCTGAGTGTAGTCTAAAAATGGAAAATGTCAAAAGTATTATAGTAATCTTCATGAAAAAAGATCTGTGTCACAGGTATTCGTAATCAGAATTAAAAAATCAATTTGGAAATCAATAATACTATTTACACTTCACATAGCATTGATGTGCTTCGAATAAAGCAAAACTGGAAAAAATTAAAAACTCCCTAAAATCGAATCTTATATATAATCAAATATGTTTTTAAAATTCTGTCCACCATATAGAATCCACTATTTTTAATTTTCTATTTTTTTACCTCAGATTCGAATAAAGCATCATCAAATTAGCCATAAGTTCATAAACCAAGTTTCATGAAAAACTTGAACAAGCAATTTATGAAGTAAAAAGAGATGAGCACAAACGAGGTCGTCGGTCTATGAAGGATTGATAAGAAAATACAGGTAATTCAGAATCGGAGCCCATTTGTCCATAATAGGTTCTGTCCAATAATTGTCAGTTCTGATCTTCGTCAGGGAAGTGGATTCTTCTCTGAGAGCACTCCGCTGCTCCTCTTTTATAGGACACCCTATAGAATAAGAGTGAGACTGTGCTGCAGTATGTAATGATTTGCTTTATTCGTTGTTCGTAAGGTTTAATTAATCGATTGGATAACAGACATACGGTGGTCGTCAGGGCAATTCGATGATTATTACTCGATTATTTTATTACGTACGGTAATACTTACAAACATTTACAAATGTAACAAGTCAATTCGATTTGGCGTACAGGATTCGTCAGAAAACATTACACTAATGACCTTTCGCTAATTCGCGTTTACGGAGGAGAAAAAAAGGAGGGGAGGAAAAAAAACGCAAAATCGGACAGCGCGCATCTGTCCTGCGAAACGCTTTGTCTTCGCTTCGATTGGGAGGAGAATGGAGGTGGGGATCAGTGCGGATGAAAATAGGGAGATCGATTGATACCTAGCGATTAAACGTATCCGGTAACGAATATAACGGCTCTACCAATACTCGGAGTATCACCGCGAACGAAAATGCACCGTTCAAAGTAGCTTTATACAAATGCAACGTTACGGTTGTGGCGCCACGCTGTAAGTTACAATCGTGGAACGATATCACAAACCTGACCATTTGCGTGAAAAAAAGGAAGAGAATGGAACAGAAAAAAGAACGAGATATTTTCGCTTTTTTTTTTAATTTCCCTTTTTTCGCTTCTATCTTCGTCCTCGCGCTGGGGGACTGTCTCGCTTTGTTATAATACTTGATAAGCACTCGCAAATCGTAATGTTCGTTTATCAATCATTATCATTCGCCTTATCCTTAGTATACTCTTACTGCGTGTAGGTAATTATTATTTCCCTATAAAGACGTGCTCCGGATTGCGTGTGTGTTTTTGTGTGTGTACGTGTTCGTATATGTGTGACAATAAAAAATAAATAGGGTATGCCTTTTCGCCGCGTGTTTCAACCCCCGGACGCGACCAATCGTGTTACTCCGCTCTGCGATAAGCAGCATTCTTTTCGACTGCGAGATAAATATCAATCGATCACGACAATGGAGATCCACGTCGCTTATTACACTAATATTGCTACCAACAAATCATAAGATTAACGAGCTTCCGATCGCGAGATGCGCTAATACTAATTTCCATTCTCTTTTTTTCAGCGAATAGCAAAAGGCGCGAGCACGTTTACTAACTATATCGACGCAATTATCAGTTCGCGATCTTGCTTAGAGACAACATCGCAACATGCGCATGATCCACTCCTAATGATTCTAATATTCCTAATAACAATTTTCAATAATTTCCTAATTCTTATTTAACTATCAACTAGGTAACTTAACGAAAGGAAATCTACGAATTAGAAAATAGTCAAATATAGAACACTGATTCTCATCATTGATTTTATCATTTGACAATCGACAGTTAGAAAATTTTATTCTACAATTTTTCGATAATCGCCAACGTCCCATTCGCTTCGAAGAAGATACGATTTGCTGGACGCTAAGGAATCCAATAAAATGCGCGATCTCTAGGCGAGCTCGATCAGAGAAAATCGTCCGTCTGTCGAAGTAAAGTTCGCAAACGCATCCGAGGGTTGATACGAAAGCCTCGTCGAAATCGGTCCACGGATGCAGACCGGGTTAACATAAGGTATGGAAGCGTACAAAATAAATAAATACGTATATACGCGAACGTGTGTCAGCTGTTAGGCCCTTCTCGAGCAAGGTATGCGACTGCATCGAGCACCGGTGGTCCAAACAACGCAAACAGAATCCAAGGTATCTCTGAGAGGATATCATACCTTTAGATACTTCACTCGGAACCTCGGAGGGATGTATATATAAATATTTGCGTTGTCCGGAAGAGGCGCAATGACGAGTTTGTGCGGTATAAGCTGCGATAAAATAGCGTAAAACCGGCGATCGCACTCGAGAAACGATCAAGGTGACGCACGAAGTTCTCGCGATGGATTGTTACATTAAATTCTCACCGATATCAATTTCTTAGACTTCAATTGTACTTATGCGCGAGCTTCTTAATTAATGAACCATTTTCTTCTTCGGTCCGATTGCGTTAAAAACTTAATTGTCAGCGAATATTAGTACGATAATTATTAGCATTTCTCACAGAAATTTACTGCTGGAAGGAAGTGATTAATTACTTTTTTCCTAAATACTAAAAGCATTATTCAGTGTTTTTAAGCTCAAAATAAATAATTAAGCACTACTTTTTAATATTAAATTGGTAGAGCGATTAATTATTTATTCTGAGTAATTGAAAGCACCGGACAATAGTGCTTTTAATATATCTACTCAAAATAAGTAATTAATCACTGGCTCTCAATTTTAAATTGAATTTCTGCAAGGAATAACAGTTCGATCTCACGAAACGCCGATTCGCCACTTTGATCGCAAAACGCTCGATCCTTCGGCAATCGCGACAATGGAGAGCGACGATGAAGCTCGATGACTCGACGATCGTCATCTGATAGTGGCGAGCAAGATAATAATTAACTAATGATTGCGATCGTCTAAATAATCCGACGCGGGATGCACGTTGCGCGGCGTCAGTTGCGAGATGTATGTAGCGGAGCTGCGTTCGGGTTGGCAAATATTGAGCAATATCCTTCCTAACGCACACCTTTGGCCGCCGGAAAAATTCGCCGGCAGGTCTATCACGCGTCTTGCCGTGTCTCTCAATCGTTATCAGCCATCAGTTGTTTCGAATCAATTACACCGACCCTGATTCCACTATTAATTCACGCTAATTCCGAATCAATTAATTATCTCTCTCTTTTTCTTTCTTTTCATCTATGAATCGTTACGGTAAAGATTTGGTAAGGAACTGTTGCCATTAGAAGACCTCAGAAATAATGGACTTTAAGTAAAAACACTTTTCGACAAAGTTGAAAAAGTAAATGTGAAGTAAAAATTGCACGCTCACTTTCTTCATTATGTGTATTTTTCTCCTTCTAGATTTTCTTCCTCTGATTTTATTATCTACAAGAGAATTGTTCAACTCTAATGATTTTTAAAATAATGGTTCTATATGTCGAAGTAGAAATAAAATTGAGAATCTGGAGAGAGAGATAGTGATTCAGATTGATGATTCGATCTAAGGAGTTTTGCTCCTTGCATCTTACCGCTTTCCCGGTCCCTCCTGGATCTTTTTATCGATTATCTCGTATTGTGCCAACTTCTTACTTCCACTGTATCCTGTGTCCTTTCGTACTCTTTCGTACCTCCTGAATAAATCGCGTATTTCTCGCTAGTGTCATCCGTAAATTCCTTATCAGTAATGAGAATAACGTCGATCGCCTATCGCTACGCACCTTATATATAATAAATAGATATATAATATATATTATATATAATATATATTATATATATATGCATATTATATATATATTCATGTAAATGTGGCTGGATGCGTGTATATTTTATACACATACGGTAGACAATTGCTCTAATAAGTTTTCTTTCTGATAAAAGTCACGTCTGCGGTGCACGTTAGGACCGTCGTCGTGTACAAAACGCGTTTCTATACGTGACATACTTCGTCGACATCCGAAAAAAAGAAATCGTTCTGCAGCTTTGTGTGTGCGGCGTGTATATGTGTGTACGACTGCAGAAGTTATACATTTCACGTATATGAAATATACAATTTTATATATTACGTACTTAGCTCTACCTACCTATGTCTCCACTTACGTGTATATATTCATATAAATCTCCTTCCCATCCGCGCGTAGTGTAGCGCGTGTATGTATATATTTATATATATAATACGTATGTATATATGTATAATATTTATATACGATGATCACCTACGTAGAACCTTACGCTCGCCCTACTACGATGAAGAAAGAACGAATAGCCGGATAATTACGGGTGTATAATTATCTTAGAAAAAAGTACGCGAGTACTGCGTTTCCTTTTTTTTGTTCTAGTATTTGGCACACAGACGTTGCGAGAGGTACGAACGCGTGGACCCCAGGTAACAAGCTGACGTCATTTTTCTAATGTCTAATGTCATCGAAATGACAACGAATAACATCAGCTTGTTGCATGGGATAGAGTTCTAGAAAATCAGAGATACGACATTGAGTCGATTAATCTAATTAGCTCGCTGCTATCATATTAGTTCTTTATGGGCACCCAATATGGATACCGATTGGCTTTATAAATCACGTAATCACAGTGCCATTTTAGTTCCTTATTATATGATAGCCAATCCAGACTATAATACTCTTTAGCAGATAACAGATTATACCCTTCTTATGTCACATTTCTGATTTTTTAGGACTCTACCTGGGACGTGTACGAGTCGAGAACTCGGCACGTTTCCGAGATCAAAGTTGAGGGAGGGGTGTTAAAGATTGAGAGACCGATGCGGCAAGACGCGAGAACCGGGGTGTAGCCCGCCTGCCCGCCTTGAACATGCGTGATGCGAGATTCGCGTCGCGTTTCTATTTCTTCTTTCCTTCTTCTCGTTTTCTAGTTTCGACGTCGCGACACTTCGTCGCGCGTCCGCGTATCGAAAGGTTTCCTCGCGCCGCGCGTTCTTTTTTTTTTTTTTTTTTTCAATCATTAATACTATATTTAATCATAACGATTAGTGCGGTATTATTACTCGCGTCTCTCTAGCGCTGAACTCCCTACGCTGAACTCTACTTTCCAAGAGACGCTCCAAGCGCCCCGCGTACGGCGACGTCCTCGTCGTTCGGAATACCGGAAGCAGCAATCTTCCTCCACCTTCCGTTCTTCCTGTTCTTCCGGTTCGCGTACCTTCCTGTCCGCCAGCCAATTTGGTCTTCTTAATTCTAACAATTCCTTGTTGTCGAACTCGAACCCCAATCTTCTCCGACGATTTCGCGTCTCCTTCCCTTCTTTCTCATCTCATTTAACGGACAATATGCCTGGGGACCGTTGTCCGAGGACAACCAAGGAGGTAGCAGTCTTGCGACCTCGCCAGCCACCGTGTTAACTCGCTAGCGCGATTTCAGTGGCAACCTTGACGGTCGAGCAGCCGATCAGCGAGCGGCTTCTCGGTCACAGAATGTCCGTCTCGTAGACCTTGCTGGTGGTCGTGGTAGACGTAGTGGTGACGGTGGTGGCTGATCCGGTGGTCGTGCTCGATACCACCGTGGTGGACGTGGTACCAGAGCCGACCTGGCCGTTGGTCGACGCCGTCCCTGTCGTTTGTCCGTTGATGATCTCGACCTTGGCTACTTGGTTGCCACCGTCGATCGTGATCTCCTGCGAGATCTGAGGCTTGATGCTGAGGCTGGTGAGGGATCCGGAACTTGCCGTACTCAGGCCGAGGCCCATCTTCGCCAGGAGATTACTCTCGGAACCGGTCTTCTTTAGGAGATCAGGCGGCGCTGGCGGTACGGTGGTGAGACCAGCCGCGTTCCTTTGCAGCTGCTGTAGCCGGGCGTACTGCTCCTGCAGAGCCTTCTGCTTTCTGAGGAGCTCCTGATGCCGTTGCTCCAACTGTTCCTGGCGGCCGCGCTTGCTTTGCAGCCCCTCCTGCGAATTGACGCTCTCGCAGGAGCTGGAGTTACTGGTCGACAGCACCGCGGAGGATTGCGAGGACGACGAATTATGCGGCCCGGCGACGCCTGGCGCGGTTGGCGCCAACGAGGACGCGGCGACTTGGTCCACGGTGGACAGGATTGCGTTCGGCGGTAGAGCCATCGGCGGCTTACCCTCCTTGCCGACGAGACTGTTGTTGCGCGAAGGCCGGCGCAAGGTCGCGTTGCCGCTCTGCAGACTGCACGGATGATTTCTGGGCGGCAGCTGCGGGCTGGTAGGGCTCGCCAGGGGCGATCGGGAACTGGTGCGCGGCGGTGGTGGCGGTGGTACCCTTCTGGCGGTCGCCAGCTGCAGCAGCTCGGCGTTCCGTTCCGGTACTGGCGGCTTCTGCCCAGGCAGAAAGTTCTGTGGCAGCACCGGCATGCCTGGCTGTGTTTGCTGCTGCTGTTGCTGCTGCAACACCTGTTGGTCCAACGATAGCGCCTGCAGCCTGGCGATAGGCGGCGAGGTGTCGGTGTCCGAGCTCGAGGGATACGAATGTAGACGGCGCAGAGTGCCGCCCGGTGCCATCCCGGGCAGGCCCATCAGGCCGACGGTGGGTGCGGTCAAGGTACCGCTGGAAGAGTCCACGCTGCCCTTTCGACCGATATCGCTGATGTTGGGCGCGCGTCCGCTGCCACCGGTGCTCGTCGCCACGACGCTCGGCGTATCTCGGAGACTGGAGGTGCGGCCGATGTCGGCCAGGAGCGTGTTCGAGCCCGGGTGCACCGACAGGCTGCTTGACACGTGGCCCATCTGCGAGCTCGGTCGGGAGAAGGTCTGCAGCTCGTCTAGCAGAGCGTCGAGTGCGTTCTCCGGACGCTGCTGATGGTCGGCGGATGGCTCGTGAGGGTGGCCCCCTCCCCCGAGGACGCCCGCTGACCCCACGACAGTGCGTTCCGCTGGCACAGGGGCAGTTGCCTGTTCGTTCAGACACGTGGAATCAACGGTCGGGCCAAGAACGTCGGGTGGGGCCCGGCTCTGCCTCGCGGCGTCGCGCCAGCGGTCTCGCAGGAGCTGATTCCCCCTGGGGGACACGGACCGGCGCGCATCGGTTCGGTGTCCTTCCGCATGCTGGCGCGACGCACTCTTAGCATCGTAACGATGAATCGTGCTTTGTTTTTGCGCGCTCTCGTTGAGAAGAAGCATCCCGCGCGATCGTCCAGCGGCGTCTCGGTGTTCCGGTCACCTCCTCGCGAGGTGATGCGCGAGTTTTCGATGTAAAAACGTGTATAAAGTACACAACGACATATAGATACTTACGCGCTTGTAGACACGACGTACAATACATAGAGACACATATAGATGTATAAGGGTGTAAAGAACGATAATAATATAAGAAGTTTGAAAATCGCATATCGATACTATGTACACTTGATCGTATGTACAGAGATACATTTTTAAAATTTGATTCTTGGTGCTTGGTGCAGACCGGAAGTAGTCCAGTACCGGATGTTGAAAGTGTCGTGTATCATGATACACTTTCTTGTTTGCAGTATGTCGTCGCTGCGGATGCTTTTTCTGACAACGAGAGCGGTGATCGTAGAAAGTGGCGTCTCGATGCGAAGATCCGAATAATGAGATTGGAGGAAGGATGAATTGCGAAAAAGAGATAACAGAGTGATGATACTTGAAAACACGGATCACGCGAAGTCCGACATTGCCTCATGATTGATTGTTCGTTGTACATATTCGTTAATATTATTTATTTTTCTAGTAAAATTATTGCGAAAGTGAAAAAATTATTCAATTATTTTTATCATGCTATTTGGCGACTCTGAAATTTCTCATAACTGATTCAGAATTACATATGTTAATTCTTATTAGATAATTATACAGAGTAGTCTTTCCAGTGAAAGCATTCTAAAATATTTTAAAAGATGATTCCTCGCATTAATTTAAGATGAAAATTTGATATGTCCAAAGTTAACTTAATTTTAAAAGATGTCAAAGTGGAAGGAAAACTTTTATTTTTTCTTTTCTTCAAAAATTTCAAAAATCACTTTGATTATTTTTATAAAATTTTGTGTATATTCCAAGAACATAAAGTTCCATCAAAATAACCCGAACGGTTTACAAAATTTTAGGAAAAAAACTACATTTTTTTCATAGATGTATCTTTAAAACTAAGGTATGTTACATACATAAAGTTTTTGTCTTAAGTTAATCACCTCTTAAAATCTTTTAGAGTACTTAAAGACCTCTATATGTGCAATATCTTAACGCATAATTAACAGTTACATCTATTAATTTTATCAAATTATATATATATAACACTTCAAGTATTCGATTTAATTCACATTCGGACTTCGCGTATCGTGTCGTTGAACCGCGTGAACGTTTTTTTTTGCGACGAAGACGCACTTCGATACACCACGATCGTACAATCGGATGATCGCGAATTTCGTCTTTTTTTTCTATGTCATGCGTATATGTGCGAATAATGTGCATGCGTAATAACGATGTGACAGAAGAGAGAGCATGATTATGAGACGATGAACGATAAGAGACGTAATGAGCGTAAATCATGAAAATGCAGAATATAGTGAACGATGAAAGAAAAGTGAAAGAGAAAAGGCGCGCGAGAGAAAGAGATGGATGAGAGAGAGAGAGAGAGAGCGCCATAGAAAGAGAGAGATAGAGAATCATAGAAAGAGAGAGATGGAGAATAATAGAAAGAGAGAGAAAGAGTAAGAGAGAGAGAGAGAGAGAGAGAGAGAGCGCAATGATGAGTCGTGAATCGCAATAAGTGAACGAAAAAAAAGGCACAATCGTAGGATATAATACGTAAATATGATTAATTCCGTTAGATAATTACCTGCGGGTCGGTTATACGTTTTGTGCGTGCGTTGTGCGTGTTACAAGTCAGTACTCGTTTGGGGCTCTTTTACATTTGGCATCGATTGCTGTCCGGTATTAGTCAACTTAAAAAAAAAAACAGAGAAACCAAAAATCAAAAATCCGAGGTCAGAGGTCATAATCGTGGACCGCGCGGAGAGAACGGAAAAGAGAGACAGAGAGAAAGAGAAAGAGAGAGTAAGTTCTCTTACTTCCTCGCGAAAATTTTTCGTTTCTTGTTAACGCGGACGCGCGAAAAATCGAGGGTGAATCATTCCAAGGGCGTGAATCATGTAAAAGGGCCAAGGAAAATCGTGGAAGTCTCTTCTTAAAGATCCAACGCGACGTTTACCGAATGTTTCACATTGTAGGATGCGACAGCGCGAAATTGTCCAGAGGAAAAAACTGTAGCGATCATTGAAATCTCTTCGATGATTTTGATAAAATTAATATTTACAATATAATTGATGAAATTAATTACACTAGGGCACAATCGGAAGATCGAGTGAGAGCTCGCTGCTATTGCCAAGGAACACACCAAGTCAAGAGAAAGTCAAAATGACGTTGATGTCAAAATGATAATCTTTAGTTACAAAATTTGACTATTTTATTTACTGACTTTAAGCATCAAAATAAAATAATTTTGACGTCATTTTGATTTTTCGTTGACTTTTGTGTGTTCCTTGGATTGCTATACTCTTTCAGATTTATCATAGCTTTAAAGATTTACTTCAATCGTATAGGCGACAATTACCGAGGACTCACTTAACCACTTCGAAAACAGAATACAAATCAAAATGACGTCAAAATGGCTCCAAAATGATTCCAAAATGATTATTAAAAGTCACTTTTCAATCAATTATAATTCAGTTTAACGTCATTTTTTATTTACGTCCTGCTCGAATTGTAACTTCTGATTGCAACCTCGCGCTGTCGGATTTATTCTTGGCGTGATCACCCCTGATCTTATAGAGTATCTCGTACGATATTCTGCCTGTCGTCCGTACGATCGACATCCGATCTCGCACAGGAAAAAGCCGAGAACGCGCGGCGCATCGCCCGGGCATCGACCTGTCGTCGTTTCGAGACTGACTCCGGATGGATCTCGCATAAGTCGTCTTACGGATTGAGAGGGACAGTTACGAGCAAATAAAAAAAAAATCGCTTAGAACCAGTACGAGTTTTAAACGAGCGTAGTTTATCGCGATATCGCCCGCGGTGAATCCATTTTAACACGGAGTAAAAAAAAAAAACAACGCGTGAGATTTGAAAGAGAAAAAGTCGTCGTCACATCCTTGTGTTACTCGGGCAGATGGATTATAGTAACGCAAATGAAGATAAGTAC